GCATACATTTGAATGCTTATAAAGTACTCAAAAGTTAAGCTAGAAAAGGTATAAGCGTTCTTTAGCCCCGAACTAAGCAACGCTTGTACTATAGGTACTAGATAACTGATAAACATACATAAACGTATTTTTATTTTGTAAATAAATACATATTATTATAAAAACACCCAGACACTAGAAAAACACCATGTTCATCAAACACAATGTTTTTTCATTAGTGGGGATCGAACCCACACCCTCTGGCGCCAACGTCATTTGGGTCGTCGTTGGTTGGCAAGCGAGCAGGCGTTACTTTAAGATGGCCGCAGAACATGGCACCTACAACACGTGGGTTTGCAAATGCGTTGTCAACCTTTAAATACGTTGGCCTCAATTACCTCACGAAACGAAACGCGAAAGCATAGTACTATTTTGACCCGAATGGCGTAGTAGGTAGTGTACCTGCCTCCTGCGCCAGCGGGTGTGGGTTCGATCCCTACTACTGGAAAAATATTGTGTGATGAGCATAGTGTTTTTCTAGTTTCCGGGTGTTTATATATGTGTAACATGTATTTAGTTACAAAAGAAAATATGTTTAACTATGTTTATCACTTAGCATAGTTTGGGACTAGAGAACGTTGTGTAAAAAATGTGTCCTAAAATATTTATTTATTTTTAATCTGTAAATTTGAAAGTCGAGAAAGCGGCTGACCTGATCTTAAGCGAGTAACCAATGTCTATAGACGTCAGCAAAAGCACGATTATCTCGACGACGCCGATAGTAGACGAAACGCTATAATGCACTACATACTTCCACTTTATGGCCATGGTACTTCCCCTGACGAGGCGGCCCATTCGTGCAACATATGTAGCCGCTGAATGGCCTTTCCGTGTCTAGATATATTATTCAGCGGTTTTTGATCTGAAATGATGCGAGATATTGAAGTTATTATTTTATTAAAACTTCTTAGGAGTCTATTCATTTAATCGCTTGTTGAAACGGGGCGTGTTGCCACTTATGTTACAGAATGCAATCGATAGCGCCCGATAACTTTGTTCGGAGTGTTAAAGTTGAGGTCATTGCGGGTAATTGCCCCGCGACAAGCCGTGTGCCGATAAACCAAACGTTTGACGTCGACTGTAAACGTTACCCTGATAAGATGTCAGGAGTTCAATACAATTTGGGAGGTGGATGAGCTGGTGAATTATGCACTGCGCTACTGAATGAGGTCTCGCAAACAATTGTGCGCTATCCGTTTACCAGACGGGTCGCTGTGAACTAGATTACGATGTCCCAAATTTAAAGGCAACGTCTCGTAAGAATGGGTATTTTTTTATGAATTTTATTTTCTCTCCGCGGTTTCTTTTCGGACTGGTATAATTTTGTGGACAGCCCCCAGTGCATAGAGAAAGAAGCGGCTCCCACTCAATCTTTCTACGTAGCTCGCATTTATATTGACCGATTGGCCATCAAATAAGAAAAGAAAGAGAAAAAGAAAAAAGAAATAAATAATCTCATAGATAAGAAAAGAATAAAGTAGTATGAATTTATTCCTACTAGAATAAGTCTATAGGTAGGACTAGAATCCCTGTGTTTAATGAAGGAAAATGGGAATAAGTAAACAATGTACATGACAATATGAAATGTTTATTATACAGATGAGACATTAATTTGTAGAGAAAAGAAATCGGAAAGACGTGCGTTCGATTCCCATAACGGCATGAAACTTTTAGTCCTATTTTCTACAATGTTTCATTTTAAGTGCACAGATAAGCACTGTGAACATTTAATTATTTTACAGATGACATCAATAGACGAAAAAACGATTCAAAGTTTCCTGTCAAACTATTTAATTTTTGCAAATCCGATATTTAATTATTTGTTTTATAAGTAATTATTGATTTTAATTGCAAGTGCTATAACTTCACTCAAATACAAGTTTGATGCCGCCTTGTTTTCTATTGCAATTAATGTTAAATGTCGATGGCGATTTCTCCTATGCTGTTTGTTAAATAATTCGAAAAAATCTGCAATTTACTGAAAGGTTTTTCTGATGAATCTGATGAAAATTTATCTGTAATTGTGTGAAATAGTTTTATTAAGACAACTTCACGAAACATTATCTTCGTGTAACTCCAATGGTTTAAGCAGCCAGGGCAGGTCTCGAGGCCTCGGGGCAACGAAGGAGTGGAGGCCCCTTAGCCCCAAATTATTTTCCATTGATTTCTGTTAATATTGATTGTAATCATGTTATTACAAAGTCCTGTAGGAAACGGTAAAACGCGCAAAAAATATGAAAGGAAAAGTTGTTTACTAGTGTTTACTAGTCCGAATTTCAAAATTTTTTCCGAAGTCTCTATTGTGGGGGCCCCGTTTGCCCTGCCATAAATCCGGCCCTGGTTACGCCACTGACTTAGTTATATTCTTGGTCCTGCCACTGCCTGTCTGCTTTTTAAGTCGGTTGTAAGCTCATAGTATATTCGGAACAAAAATCTTGTTGGAAACAAAAAGTTTGTCTATGTAACGCCTGAATTTCTCAGCTACCATCTGCCTCAGATTGCATTGAACACAGTGCATCAAGCTTATATATGAGTGAAAATGTATCTAGTTAATTCTAGTAATGACCAACTGTTAAAATAAAGATTAAGGAACCTTGTATAATCATTTATGAACTCTAGGCTTCGCTTAAAATAGAGCGTTGGGAATCCATTGTCGACTATTATATGTACGTGCATAACTCCGTTCATAGATAGGGCCTTATTTTTTTTTCAAAAAACTTTAACTTGTTATTCATACCTATAATTCCGTAGGTATAAATGAAACACCTTTAAGTTTTTAATCACAATTTATTTAATTTTACATCGATTTATAAAGCTACTGTACTCTCTAAGTAAATAAACGGTAAATTTTACACCTCTAAACAAGTTAATACATCTCACTTATCACGCCGTTGACTAGACTGATTAATTTACAAACAAAACGACAAACATAATATGAGATCTCTATAACTCTCTTTTTTTACTTATTTACATCGATTCAATAATCAGCATGTTAACAAAGCTCAAATGTAAAAATGTTGACCTCCACATATGGAGGCTTGTCTGCGACTTATCTCATAAGTGGTAGTACAGTGAGATCTTAACATTATTAACGCGCGTCTTTCCCCCCCAAATGTATACAGATACATGTGATTTTCTCCATTAAGGTAAGTTTGTCACGTTTATATCAATATAGAACTGTTGCCAGGTTGGTTTCAACATTGATTAAAAGCGTTACATTATAATCATCAAGAGACACCAGTGTATTTATTACCTTGGATTACGACGAGAAGAGAAAAGCGATATCTGTACATCGGCATTATAAGCACAAGAAAACAATTTTAATAAATATGACTAGAAACATTGATCACTTAAGTTTAAAACTTCCTAAATATTTCGTTTCTCTAAAATATGTACCGTCATCACCATATTTTTTCAATTATCATTATAAACATGGCCTCTTAATTATATTCAAACTAGTATTTACAAAATTTTAAATTAGTAGTAAGTATTAAGTCTTCGCCATTACTTTGAACGTATGTTTAATGTTGGTAAATTTAAATCGCAGTTCTAATAGCGCCTGAAACCATGGCACATGCGAAACAGGATACAAATTATACATACATATTTTTTTGAGTTTCACTTATCTGTAATCTGTTATCACTTAACTCTAACAAATGAATTATATTTATACAATTTATATTTATACAGAATGCTAATTGTCTTAAATGTAATAAAGTGATTATGTCGATGAGAAGGTGATTCGGATATAAATATATTGGAGAGTGTATCTAAATGAAAAGTATGGACCAAACTCACATATAAGTGAATTGCGATTTTCGAAAATATGAATGAAGTAATTCGTGTGCTTAATATGGTGCCGTTCAATACACTTATATTAAACCCGATGAGAAATAAAGCACCGAATGAGGTAAGAAAATAAAAGGTTGTAAAAGCCATCGTAAGCTATGCATATTAGAGTAGCAAAAATCCATCGTGGGATTTGGGAAAAGGAGAATGATGTGTGAATATGGATGTGAAGCGAAAAGAACTAATAATTAGAGTGCTTCTTGTTAAATTCTAATACATCAATAATTATGTGACCTACACAATAATGTATTTTTGACTACCCTATTTAATCACATGACATCCATTTAATCATTAAATTGTCATTGAAGAAGAACTTTGTATTATTTAAACTTGTTTGCGCTTAGCGTTAACACTGCGCCTGGCCTCTGCGATTCCATTCAGAGGTCACTTTCGGTTCTTTTTTATTTATAATTATATTCCACTGTTTGTATTCTTTTTATAGATAAGGAAAACTATTAACTACGACAAAAGTTATCTACGACCTATGCGAATTCATGTTGTTATGTGTGATAATATGTATCCACGAATAAACAATTTTAATGTTACAGTTCCATTTGAAATATACAAATTTACACATTTTATGTCAAACGTATTTATTAGCTAACTCTTAGTGCATAAATGATGAATTAAAAACATTACTTTGCAATACAAGTTGGCTAATCAATTAATGCAAATTGATTTAACTTTTTCCAAAAAAAATTTCCAGTACGTTTCATACTTACAAAAAAATTGTTTAATAGATCCGTTTAATTTCCTTAGAATATTTACATTATATACAATACACATAAGTGCGACAGTAGTTGAGTAGAACATCGGACATTTGAATATGCGATAACTCGAATTATACATTCTTGTGGCCTCATTAAACACTTTTTGATTTGTACATTGTGTTTATATACCAACAAAAGCTTTATTTTTACTCTCCTCAAGTTGCATTACTGTGAAAATAGTTAATCTGCAATGAAGCATTTACACGTGTGGATAATTATTTCCATAGTAGTACCCCATTGAATTGTTAGCGTTAGTCTCGGTGAAGGTGCAACTGGTTACAGTGGATGTGGACCAGAGGTACGGATTTGTAAAAGATTGACCCGACGACTGTCCGGCACTCAATTCCGGGCCGGCCGGTTCCGGTCGGTTAGACCTGATGTACGGATGTGCAAAAGAATATTGCGAAGAATGTCCGACACTCGATTGCGGCCCGGCCGGTTCCGGTCGGGTAGGCCTGTTGTACGGATGTGCAAAAGAATATTGTGAAGACTGTCCGACACTCGATTCCGGGCCGGCCGGTTCTGGTCGGGCAGAGCTGTTATATGGATGTATAAAAGGTTGAAGAGACGACTGTTCGGTACTCGATTCCGGGCCGGCCGGTTCCGGTCGGGTAGACCTGTTGTACGGATGAGCAAAAGGTTGATGAGACGACTGTTCGGTATTCGAATCCGGGGCGACCGGTTCCGGTCGGGCAGACCTGTTGTACGGATGTGCAAAAGAATATTGTGAAGACTGTCCGACACTCGATTCGGGCCGGGCCGGTTCTGGTCGGGCAGAGCTGTTATATCTGGTCGGTTGAAGAGAACTGTTCGGTATACGGGCCGGTCGGTTCCGGTCGGGCAGACCTGTTGTACGGATGAGCAAAAGGTTGATGAGACGAGTGGTCGGTACTCGATTCCGGGGGCCGGCCGGTCGGGCAGACCTGTTGTCGGGAATACTCGACCGGTTCCGGTTGTACGGATGAGCAAAAGGTTGATGAGACGACTGTTCGGTACTCGAATCCGGGGCGACCGGTTCCGGTCGGGCAGACCTGTTGTACGGATGTGCAAAAGAATATTGTGAAGACTGTCCGACACTCGATTCCGGGCCGGCCGGTTCCGGTCGGGCAGACCTGTTGTACGGATGTACAAAAGGTTGATGAGACGACTGTTCGGTACTCGATTCCGGGCCGGCAGGTTCCGGTCGGGCAGACCTGTTGTACGGATGTGCAAACGGTTGATGAGACGACTGTTCGGTACTCGATTCCGGGCCGGCCGGTTCCGGTCGGGTAGACCTGTTGTACGGATGTGCAAAAGGTTGATGAGACGACTGTTCGGTACTCGATTCCGGGCCGGCAGGTTCCGGTCGGGCAGACCTGTTGTACGGATGTGCAAACGGTTGATGAGAGACGACTCTCCGGGCCGGCCGGTTCTGGTTCGGTACTGTTGTACGGATGTGCAAAAGGTGATCGATTCCGATTCCGGGCCGGCGGTTCCGGTCGGGCAGACCTGTTGTACGGATGTGCAAAAGGTTGATGAGACGACTGTTCGGTACTCGATTCCGGGCCGGCCGGTTCCGGTCGGCCAGACCTGTTGTACGGATGTGCAAAAGAATATTGCGAAGAACGCCCGACACTCGAATCTGGGCCGGCCGGTTCTGGTCGGGCAGACCAGTTGTACGGATGTGCAAAAGGGTGATGAGCTGAGTGTTCGGCACTCGATTCTGGGCCGGCCGGTTCCGGTCGAGCAGACCTGTTGTACGGATGTGCAAAAGGTTGATGAGACGACTGTTCGGTACTCGATTCCGGGGCGGTTGGTTCCTGTTGGCCAGACCTGTTGTACGGATGTGCAAAAGAATATTGCGATGACTGTCCGGCACTCGATTCCGGGGCGGCTGGTTTCGGTTGGACAGACCTGTTGTAAAGATGTGCAAAAGCATGTTGCGACGACTGTCCGCACGATTCCGGGTGGGGGCCGGCTGGTTCCGGTCGGGCTGCTCTGATGTACGGATGTGCAAAAGATTGATGCGACGACCGACCGACACTAGATTCCGGGCAAGCCGGTTTGGGTCCGGCACACCTGTTGTACGGATGTGCAAAAGAATGACGCGACGACTGCCCGACTCTCGGTCTAGGGTCGGCCGGTCCCGGTCGAGCAGACCTGGTGTACGGTTGTGAAAAAGATTGATGCGACGACTGTCCGGCACTTGATTCCGGGCCACCCGGTCCCGGTCGGGCAGACCTAGTGTACGGATGTGTAAAAGAATGACGCGACGACTGCCCGACACTGGGTTCCGGGTTGCCGCGTTGAGTGTTGAATCAATGTTCCGTGCTGAAGTAGGAGTTCTGCATGAGGTAGAGCTTGTCGATCGGGTTCACGACCGCGCCGGTGCCCAGGTTCAGCGGCTCGTGGGAGGAGTGGGCCGAGTGCTGGTGCGGGTGGTGCTGCACCTCGAGGTTCTGCAGGCTCATCGTGTCTGATGCCCCCTCGTCCAGCTGATCGAAGTTGCTCCCGTCCAGCGATATGTCCGAGCTGCAGAAGCTGTCACCGGAGTGCGTGGGGTAATCTGGAAAAGCGGACACGACTGTTTCATTCCTGAAATTGACTTCTCGTGAGTGTAAATAGTGACAAATTTAAAGTTTGTTAGATGCTAAGATGCTGATAACAGCAATTACATAGGTAAACTCTAAAGTTTACCTATGTATTTTCATTTATACGTATGTCAAATTTATATAATGGTATGTTATATTTTATGTACATATCGTATTTATTTGTATTGTTGAACAAGTATTTGTAAATAATTCAATGTGATTCTTGCGCCTTCCACAATTTAACTGTCCGGTTCGGGTCGACTAGTATAGAGCGGCCCAAAAGCATTGCGTTTGTTCTCTGCAATCCTTTAATTAAGTAAATTGCAATAAAAGATATATCTAATATATAAAGTTCTCGTGTCACGGTGTTTGTAATTGAACTCCTCCGAAACGGCTCGACTGATTTTCGTGAAATTTTGTGTGCATATCGGCCTGGGTGGATAATCGGACAACATCTCATCATTTTTCATCCCCCTTAATGTTAAGGATGGTCCAACCCAACATTTTTTTCTACCCTACAAATAATTTATATGGCAAAACAACGTTTGCCGGGTCAGCTAGTAAATAAATAGAAATATGCGTGGTATATTAATAATTGTTAGAGAAGAAGTTCTCACCATCCGGGGAATAAGGCAAGTTCGGATTTAGCGGCTGACTCGATGCCGAGTACGAGTTATCCATTCCGAGATAGTTTCCGTGGTCGCTCGACGGCGACTCCTGTTTTATGTTCTTCTCGTCTTTATCTTTCTCCTTCTCGGTGTTCTTGTCGCCCTCTTGTTTCGCCTTGCGCTGGATCTTCTTCATTTTGGCCCTCTGGTTCTGGAACCAGACCTGGACCACGCGCACGCTGAGCCCGGTGTCCTTCGCCAGGGCCTCGCGCACCTTGCGGCAGGGCTTGGGGCTGACCTCGAACGACGCCTTGAATTGCCTGCGCTGGGCCGACGTCAGAATGGTCCTGGGCCGCTTGGGCCCGCGCCGCCCGTCCCTCGGCCGGTCGGAGTCGTCGATGATCATCTCGTCCTCGGCGTGCTGCATCAGGTACATCTCCTTCTCGAAGTCCTGCCTGCAGAATATCTGGCCGGCCCGTATCACGTACTGCTCGCCCTTCTGCAGCGGTTGGCAGCACATCACGCAGACGAAGCACTGTATGTGGAAGACGTACTGCTGCGCGCGCATGACCATCTCCTGGGGCAGCAGCCTGTCGCCGCAGCGCGTGCACTTGACGCCGAACAATCTGCGACAGGGCAATGGGTAATTACACAGGTAATGACGTGAAACGCTCAGCACTTCGCCAGGCGGTGCGCTAGCAATTCGCAGTCGGCGAACGTAGGTCACAGATCGCAAGCGGTGGGATAGTTGGGTGTTGAAAGTTGTTTCATTACCTATCGTAGTCGGGCTTGCAGTAGAGCTTGGCGTTGCGCGTGAAGCAAGTGTGGGCTAGTGGGCAGCCGCACACGCAGCAGCTGAGGCAGTGCTCGTGCCAGGATAGGTCCCCGACCCGCATGAGGAAGCGGTCTTGGATCTTCTGTCCGCACCCCTCGCATATCTCCACGATCTTCTCGCGCTTGATGTTCGCCCCCAGCTCTGACGGAAGGGAATCCATGGTTAGTAGCATGTGGAAGTCACCTGTGTGGGAACGTTCGCATCGCAAAGCCACATGAATCGTCTCTAGTTTAAATTTCTTTTTTAGCCATTGCGGCTTGAAGTGCAAACAACAACACATTATCACAAAAACCTTCGCATTTATGACATTAGTCCTGATTATATTCTTTGCTCTAACTTAGGATTGTACATATTTTTTTTTTTATTTAAAATGGCGGCTATCTTAGCATTAGCCTTATAGTAGCGCGTTGCGGTAAACCCGTCCTTTTTGTTACAGATTACGAAACATTTGTTATTTATTGTTTTTTATTACCGACTTAAATTAGTATAGCTTTGATAAACGACGTTTCTCTATAATTTTTATATTATTTTGTTAAAAATATAAGAAGTAAAGTATGAGGCATCTATCCCGCTGCAGTATCCAGTTGCGAGACCCTGGTCCTTCAGACGTGGGTCCACATTTTTGCAACAGCAGAAGTTGCCGAGTGGTCCTACCACAAATGAATTTATACCTTTATGTTAGGACACAATGATTTTAGCTTGTCCGATTTAAGTGGTTCGTCAATGCGCGCGCTATTTTGACCGTTTGATCGTATTGAAGCAATATAGTTTTTAATTTGTTATCAATAAATACATTATCGCCAGTTAATCAAATGTTAATTATACCGATACAAATTAAGATCAGTGCCGATAATTGCTTCTTATTGCGTTGGTCGAAACGAAGAGAGAACGCGAATGTATTACATTCTCTTGTACACAACAATTAATCTGTGCAGTTGACACAGGCCGATAATGGCGTGAAAGGTCGCCGTCGATGAAATCGATCGGCGAGGCGTTAACAATGTTTTTTTATGTGAGAAGGTGACAAGCGAACTGGCGGCTCCTAAGCGATAATAAGTTATAACCTCCTAAGTGATAACCTTCGCCCACGGACATTTGCAACACCCGTAGAGTTGCAGATGCGTTGCCATCTTATAATAAAGTGAGCCCCGGCTACCTCACTCACCAGACGAAACGCAGAAGCGTGACACTTACACTTCACTCTGGTCTTCGTGAGGTTTTGTTATTTACTTGGACGGACCTGCCCACTCTTGTAACAGTCGAAGCTATTGCGTGGTCCTACAACAGTTTTTCTATATTGTTGAGCCCATTGTTTGCTGAGGCTTCTTTTAGCCAACTGCGAGTTGTACATCTATGTATGGCTATTAACTTCACTATTATGTACAACTTATTATTAATCGGCGCCACTCGAATTTTAATAAATAGCAAAATTCTCCGCGAAAATTGAACGCTGCGTTGTCCAAGTCGTAGATAAAACCCGCGAAACTTTCCTTCCATAAAATTGGCATGCGGTTACGTTTAATACATTATATCATATCATCGAAGTATTTTTGTACAGTTTCTTAAAAAAATGTGCCATAGTTAATGTAATTAAGGATACTAATCTTTGCGAGATTCAAATTTTTATCGAGTTCAGTCAAATGTGTCGAGCGATGGGCTTGTCGCCACGAGCAACCCGTAAAGCCTACGCGTACACTGTCGCCACTTTAGTTTGCATTCATTAAGCGATTTCTCGCTGGGCGGCGAGCATAGAGGCGTGTAAATCTGGCAAAGTGAACACAAATGTAGGGGACCAGTGATCGCCCCGTAATATTTGCCTTTCGCATTGGCTCCCTTGTCAACATGCGCGGCCGATGTGCAAATTTGGTTGACCGTCAATTTTTTTTTTGTCGTTTCCAATGTTTGCGTTCATAACTCGTTGGAATGCATCGTCGGGCGCAACGATACTCTTTTCGGCGAATGCAGTGCGTTTGTTCTTAAGCCAAGTAGGCGGGATCGATTCGTTGGATAATTTCCTTAGGTACGAAGCGGTCACGTACTCCGAGCGGCTATTCTCCATGGCTCCAAACTTTATTGATTATGCTCTCTCGCCCCTTTTTTAGAAAACTCTTAATCCTCTAGATTTAAACTTTGATATTTTCATGTAATATAATTATTAGTAACTTAAAGTATTAGCTCATTGTCGGAGCGCTGGCTTTTTAGCCTAGGAGGAGGTTCCATGTTCGACTGTTTCTTATATTCTTTTTTTTTAATTCAATATATTCGAGCAACCTGTGTTCAATCCTATGCGCCTACCAATGAAATTTAAGTGATTAATTTTAAGTGCTGACTTATCACGTGTTTAGCGGTGAAGGAAAACGTGCCGAGAGAACATGAATATTTTCGATATAATAACAAAAATAATATGCCGAAGATATGTGAAGTCCGCCAATCCAATTACTCAAACTCTTTAAATCCATGTCTCACTCTCTTGTGAAACACTGACTAATCTATCAACGTCTGCTAAAGCAGTCTCCAATATTAATTTATGTTTCAAAAAACGATGTCTTCCGCGAAAATAATATGGTTTTGAGCCGGTGCCTTTTTCCCGACCCTGCTCCCCTTTGCCATAAAAACATGCGTGCAAAACGGAAAATTTTGACTATGAAAAATATTCTTAACGAGTAGGTATATTATCAGGTTTGGTTTTGATTATTCGCACAATTGAATATCGTCTGCGAAAACATTTTTTCGGTTAAACCTCAGATTCTTCGTACTCGTTTATTTACGACTATTTCTTTCGCGACACGTTGGAGATAAATGAAATTCTCAAAAGGATGTCTTGTGACACGCGTTCTCTAATATTTAAATTTTTCACGTTATTTAAGTATCATTCCCATAATATTTATAACTTTATATATGCAAAAAATAGAGCAAATTATGATATTTCAAAATGAATATTGTCATTTGCATAATAAATATATTGTATACATGTTTGTTGTATACATGTATGTCAAACTATGTTAAAAAAAAATGGTCCTGCTGAGTTTCTTTGTCTGGTTATTCTCAGGTCAGTGTTTTTTTCCGTACCGGTAGTAGTGTTTTTTGACAATCAATAAGTAATTTAATGTAATGCATTTATATTGAATGAAGATATTTGAATTACTCTAGATATAAGTATTGTTTACGGCTCAAAAATTACGTTGGCACTTAGGCTTCTCGAAGTTATCTTCCTTCAATCGCGGCTTCAAAAAGAAATAATTAAAGACGTTTCACCGTGTCAAGACCTTGGCCACGCATACTAAGCACCCATGAAATTCGGATCGTCGGTCCCCAAGATCGGACCGTGTGTATCTAGCTATAGGGCTATGGGACGGAGCGGAGAGACGGCGCGTTGCGACGAAAATATCGGAGGTGTCTCGGGTGCTCCTGAGACGTTGGGGGGAACACGCCCCGGGGGCGACGGGGGAGGGGTGGGGCGTTCCCGGGTCACGGAGGGATCATGGCGCGGGAACAAAATGTCGGCGTAAAACAGTCGTTCCTTCTGTATATTGACGCACCGGGGTGGCGGAGCGCTATCGACGCCTATGCCTGTAGATTCGGAGAGCCGAAATTACTGTGCCCTTGTATTATTCCCAGTAAGGCGTCACGATGGGAATGCTCGCAAGGCTGCCAAACGGAGGGAGGTGGCGAGTGGGCCGCATTCACCGTGGACGGCCCCGCGGAGCGCAAGATGCCCACCGAAAGCCAGTTGTACGGTTAGTGGAAAAAGATATTGTTTCTAACAGGTATACAACCTTAAAGCTCACGAGCATTCTCAGGTGTCCATGGGCGGCGGTGATCACTTACCATCAGGTGAGCCTCCTGCTCGATTGCCGCTTTTTGCCGCTCATAAAAAATAAAGATATCACGAGGGAAATCTCAAAGTAATTATCTTCTTAATATTAATAAATAGAAATGAATGTCGGCAAGCGCATAACTCAAGAATGGCTGGACCGATTAGGGTAATTTTTTTTTGTATGTTCCTTGAGGACCACCGAAGGTTTTAATACTATAAATTAAAAAAAAGAACGAAGTCTGTCAGGCCAGCTAGTTGTTACTAATCCACTCGTCCGTAGTAAATAAAGTAGGTACTCCTCAATGTATTTCTCGACATAAGAAATGCAGTTTCTTGATGTGAAAACATCATTCTTGTTTCTGAGGTAATGAAAGTAATTGAGTTGACATTCAAATGCAGGGAGTATATAAAATATGTTTTAGAAAACTGCCGTCATAATAAGATTTTAATCCGTCGAAGAACCGCTTTCTCGAAATTTCTCGAGCTCACATTGCGTTACCAATGGATAGAAAAACCTTTCTTCTTTTTATTTCAGGAATCGTTTGTAGGTTCTATAAAATTTACTATGTTAATATAGTCTATGTTTATACATTATAATGTAGTTCGTTTTGTGTGTAATTAAGTGGTGTGTATATTATTTGCATGTTAGAAAGATTCATAGCATGTTTTTATGTTTTATCTTCATTCTAATCAGCTTCAGGCAGCTTCGTATTTCCTCGAATAAAATAATTTTTAACCATGTTGTTTATTCTTCCTAAATCAGAAATAATAGTTTAATTCGTAAATAATCAAACCATAATATTACCATAAACTTAAAACGTCATTAGTTACACATACGTGATATGTCTACAAGAAGGACACTGCATACGTCGTTTACACGTATGCACATTATCAATAATAATGTGCTTACTTTAAGCTTTTATAACTAATCGGATATGAGGTGATGAGAATGCACGCCCATACTACATTCGTACCGCTTTCGAATAGAATGAAACTAATTAAAACTCACACCCGAGTCTAGCGTCAGATATCTTGCTTAATTAATACGCGTCGGCGACACTTCTGCTATCCGGTCGGATGAACCGATAAGATAACGCAAACAGAGCAATACGCGAACGCAACAGTTGGGATTTGTTAAATTATTCGATACCAGAAAAACGGCAACTAAACTCGAGCGCGTGGCGAATTCTTCGCGCAGCCGGAGCGAAGGAGGCTTGAACTATCGCGAAGTTGTTAGCGCGGTCCATCGGGTGAGGCAGTGATGAGATATGTTAATTATTTGTTGGCACGCACTCTGTATATCCGAGCTTTATTATACCCAAAATTTATATAAATGATAGGTTCAAACAAAAATAATTCAATTCTCGCTATTCTGCGTTGTACGTATTTATTGCAAGTGCACTGACGCAGCCGTCCGAGTTGCCTCGAAGTGCGGGCCGCACTGAAAACCGGTGTCGGTATCAGAACGAATTTTAGTTACTGTATCTATGTAGACATTCACTGAGTCCCGTCCGTTTCACGGTCTTATGCTACTACACAGACCTTCACTTATAATTTTTTTGTTGCTACACAGACCTTCACTTATTATATTTTTTGTTGTTTACATTTATTTCAAGTTTTTCCAATATTGTTTTATATACCTTGTAGTTACATTATTTTTAAGTTTTGTATGTATCCATTGTGCTTAGATCGTGAATAAACGGTTATTCATCATGTTCTCCTTCATACTGTTCACCGAAATTTGGTGCCGTTTGCAGTTTGGGCTGTCGCTAATAGAGTTTCCTAAAGGAGTCACAACCAGGCACCTGTTGGTTAGTGGTCACCGCCAGGATCATTCACAAAATCAGAGGTGTTGAAAAGTCTCCACACTGGAATGGGCTTTTCTCGTGAAGATCCCTAAGTATTGGCAAGATAAAGCTACTCAATTGTGAGAGACTATTACGGCAGCCGGTGACTGCTTGGTTTGTATATTTCGGAGAACGAAATCAAGGAAACTTCTGGAATGGTATTACGTTGCGCGCTTAATTCCCAACAGATATAATTATAGAAAATGGTCTCTTTAGTGGTTAGTACCCGGAGGACCATTTTTTGGTAAATCAAAAAAAAAATTTTTTTATTTCCAAAAAATGTTGGAATTAAAAAAATTAAAAATAAAGAAAATGACCTGGTATAGGAAAAAAGAAAAAAAAATAAGTGTGTAAAATGATCGTGATACGAACCGCGGCCGTCTGCTTTGGGGCCGCCCGATTACCGACCGAGCTATTATAACTTTTTTTTTTGCGGCGAAATTAACCGTCATATTCGAATGATATTTTTCATTCCCTGAAAACAGGAATAAAAGGATATTTTCTAAAAATGAAACCTAGCTAGATCGATTTTTCGCCCCTAATCTACGCACATACTAAATTTCATGAAAATCGCTGGAGCCGTTTCCGAGATTCCGATTATATATATACAAGAATTGCTCGTTTAAAGGATAAGAATATATGATAGACAAAATTACAAAAGTAACAACGGTGGAGTCATTGGATAGTTTTCGCTGTTAGGATGGGCTGGTTCGTGCCAGGAAGTGCCACGTCTCGGGAATTAGCTAACTGAGACCACTTCACCAAAAGCTGGCAACCCTATGCTGGCATCAGCAACCCTAAGGTCTTGCGAACATGAGCGGCGATCATCACTTAACATGAGGTGAGCCGCCAGGTCACTAGCCATCTTCTTTCATAAAAGAATACCCGGTGTATATATATATATACAAGATTTTCTATCTTTTTATACTTTAGAAAAGTAAAGGCGTACGATTTAATCTCTTTTTATTTGATTCGAATTAAAGTATTTTATATATAATTTGGATAAACAGTCCGATATACAGTGACAGACGCATCAACCATTTTTTTCGGGATTTAATTAGATCGGTTAAACGCGGATGGCATCATCTAATGCTGCTTCAATCCTCAACGATAGTCTGTCATTTCTGTTATAAGAAACCCAATTTATAAATTTAAAACGTCGTCAAGATATCGTCGTCATATAAGACTATCTAAAAAAATCTTAAACAGGCTATAAAGAAACAAAAATAAACTTCCGCATAATAATTCAATTGTTATAGTCTATTAAAATATGTAGAAAAAGTGCGAAAACATTGTCGCCACTGTGGGAATCGAACCCACGTCTTCGGCATTCGCGGCCTGACCGTCTAGCCATTGTGCTAAACGGCTGATTGCCACACCGTTGTTATAGTCTAGTCTATTATTTATTACACTCTAATTAGTATAGTGAAGTTTTGAGTTGTGATTTCACGATAACCAACAAAGAGACTCGGAAAAGGGCACAACTATCAATAAAGTTTTCGCAAATCGAACCCACAACATTGCATTGCTGCCGTGGTCGAGGCGAGCACAAGGGCCATTGTGCTACGCGTGCCGCCGACGAATGTTTTTCATTCAAAATTGTCGCTCTCAATTACTATGGACATCGAAAGGGTTTTGTTATTTTTGCGATTTCCACAGGCCATAAGTGTGTCACCGTGCCACACTCCAGAAATAATTTCCGAAATTTAGCCTTTAATAAGAGAGTATTGCAATACATGAACATTAGTCTAAGAGCCATTATTGAAATATTGGAAATGTGAAATACGTGTACATTACATACATTCGAAATGTATCTTTTATTATTTAGAAGATAAACAAGTTATTTTATTTTATTATTTTGTTATCTCACGATATTTCTCTTTGTCCAACCGATTCCGTTATAGGCTAGGCATAAAATCTCAGTATAGAATTTCAGTAGTGCCGGAGCTTCGACTTATTCTGAGGTCACCTGTACATCTTGAATTAAAAGCGAGCATCCGGACATGTGGAGCTACAAGTGCTCTAATTTTATTATAAAACTAGCGACCCCCCCTGCTTCGCACGGGTGCAATGTATTATACATATGAACCTTCCTCTTGAATCAATCTATCTAGGAATAAAACGCCAAATCAAGATCCGTTGTGTAGTTTTAAAGATCTAAGCATACATAGGGACAGACAGACAGCGGGACGACTTTGTTTTATACTATGTAGTGATGCACAGCAGAGACTTTTACGTTTCAAGTGACATTTTCCTAGAGTCACTCACTTGTTTTGCGTTCCCGCAACCCCTCCAGTAACACTTAAACTTTATGGTATGGTATTAAAGTTCAAATTGACTTTTAGGTATTATTACCAATCTTTTGTACGGGGTTATAGAAAAGTGTTGTTTTTAAACGTTTTCAGGTAATTATTTAAATTTTTTCTTTCATAAGAAACTTCTGATAATAACACAACAAAAAAAAAGTGAAATCGGTCCAGCCGCCCACGCGTGGTGGCGTGACGTAGGGATTCATTTATATATGTATATATGTATATATATATATATATATATATATATATATATATATATATATATATATATATATATATATATATATATTTATATATATATATAGCGTGTCGTTACCATCGCGACAATAAATCAACACACGTCTAACGCTACTTGTCAATAATCATAAAAAATATTAACGTTACAAAAATCCATAACTAAAAAAAATATTTTTCAAACAAACTAATTAAGTAAAACAGAAACAAAATTTGCAACATTCTTTACAACTACAACTGACTGATTCATACATTCAGAAACTTTTTCATTCGTTGCCACAGCGTCGCATTGCAAGCCTCTCCTTCTAACAGTATGATTTGTGTCTTTTAAATTCATTCAACCCATTCATATGCTTTGTGACCTTTACAAATGAACTTTACGTTACAGTTTTATACGTAATAGTGTTCTAAAATTCTTTGTTTTGGAAAATTTTATAACTCTGTAAATATTGATGTTTAAAGAATGTAAATGTTTAATACAATTTTAAAAAGTTATCCTCTATGTGTGTTCATTTAATGTCGCGATTGTTAAAGACACGCTATATATCTAATATATAGATAACAATTTTTAAAAACAAGTAACAAACTATAAATTTGAATACGAAAAGTATTTTTACATTTCCAATTAGAGATTTAAGCTCACCGAAAGTTCGACAAAACTAAGCTCAACAAAATGGCGCCTTTTACATGTCATTGTGTGGCGGGCCAACATTTGGTTAGCTAATATTTGTTCCCGGTAAAAGTAAAAATATCTCAATAAGAAATAGAATCATTAAAGACCATTCTAACCTACTCATAACAAATTGCAAAATAATTAAATGATTCCATCTCATTAAAACTAACATGAAAACGTATCTGGCGAAGCCAACAATTTCATAAATAACATATTCGACTAAAACTAGGTATGATAGATTGAAATCGAGGGGATTAATTGCCCGCTTTGTTTGTTTCACGCGTTTTTTTTTTTTTTTTTTTTTTTTTTTTGGGCTGGATGAGCCACTGTTGGCCTTAGGGGCCTTTACAGATCCGACGGACTTGAGGTGGCCTGGCGCACGAGGCGCCTAGCCTGAACCTCGGCGTACTATTATTACGCGTTATGGTGACTAAGCTCGAGGGCTCCCGGGGGAGCCTCGGCTCGGGCCGTCACGCTATTATTGTTACCGGTTTGGGAGGCCGCCAAGCTCTAGGGCGCTTTGGCGGGCGCTCCATGGAGTGATCAGGCTCAAGGGTCCCCGAGAGGGGACCTCGGCTTGGGCTGTCACTCAGCACGCGTTTAGCATTCCGATTCGAGGGTGCGCGAGAGGGCCGGACCTCGGCTCGATCGGTAGCTATTATCTGACTGGTGTTTCACGCGTAATTTAACAATGCAAGCATTGCACACGTGGTTGCACGTTTCACGGGCGTTTACGAACGTAAAGTTAAGCTATTGTTCAGTTCCCGATCAATTTTTAATTTTTTCGCTCTATCCTACTATTTATGATCATTACTATGACTATGTTTTTTTTTGATAATCTTATGTTACTCTTAGAGAACTATTGATTCTTATTATTTATTTGTTTTTGTATATGTATACCGAATAAAATAATAAAAATTACTCTATGGTTTGTCGGCCTTCACACACAAAGTGATCATTGATTTTACATAAAGGCTATTGTAAAAAGGAAACGATTTGAAAGATGTTTATCGTGTTCAATTATAAATTATGACTCTTAAAATCAAAAGAAATGTACGAGACATGAAATATGATAGAATCTGTAAAAATCATTGTTTTTTTTTATGTGAAAAGTTGCCAAGCGAGCAGTCGGTTCACCTGATGTTAAGAGAACACCACCGCCCATGGATATCTGCTACACCCGAGGGTTCGCAGATGCGTTAACAACCGTTTGAAAATTGTGTACTAATTAAACAAATATTTATTAGTAAATGTTTTTTTTAATATTTTTTTTAATTTCTTTTTCATTATAATCCTATAGGTCTCCAATTTGTATTGCTTTAAAAATATTTTTTTTAACATGTAGTAAGAACTAGCAATAGCCGTGATAGCTCAGTGTCCTGGCGCTCGCCTTTAATTCAATATACTCGAGTAACCTGTGTTCGATCCCCGGTGCCGGCACCAATAAAGTTTTTAACTTTAAATGCTGTCTTTTCACGTGCTCCGCGGTGAAGGAAAACATCGTGAGGAAACCTGCATATTTTCGAAACAATAACAAAAAAATATTTCGAAGATACGTGAAGTCCGCCAATCCGCAGTGGGGCCGCGTGGTGGACTATGCCCTAATACCCTCTGTATAGAGGAGGCCTTTGCCCAGCAGTGGGATATGTATAGGCTGTTACTTTACTTTTTTTACTTTAAGAACTAGGAAACAGGAAAACGAGGTTTTGTATATAAGAGTTATTGTAATTTAGTTGTTGTGTTGATGTAGATTAATTAAAGTTTTACACATGCAGGAAAGAACATTATAATTTAATGGCGGTTCATCTGTTGTTAAATGTTGTCCGCGATGCGAAATAGATGTCATGTAAATTCCATCTCGTCTTTGATATACGCAAGTATGGAGTCCTTTTTTATTATTTTCTTCTCGATCATATTCAAACATAAACTTTCCAAATTTATGTATCCTAATAACAGTTAGTTTATATCTATTATTATTTATAATTTTTTAATATAATCACATTATTCATTATTTCAATTTTACACGACGTTTTATATATTTTATATCCTGTAATGTGATACCCTCCCATAAAGCAAGTATGAAAGAAAAAAAGTTTCCTTTTCAAATGTAAAGACGTCCAAAGATAAAATTTAAGAAAATGTTGTTCTCTTTGTGAATCCCGGGCATTGTTTTGTGTAAAACGACACCCAAAAATAAGAAAAAAAAAACAGCAGAATTAAATTTATCGAATGTTATAATTTCGATCCGTATCGCATTTTCTTCAACATCACTTTAAAATAAAAAAAAAATGGAATAAAAATTAATAACACCGATTCTTTCATTCGGTTTCACGGGTATTTTACAACATTGTTATAATGCCGTTTATTTATATCCATATTAAGATCTTGTTTTAAAATCTTGCTTGAAGATATATCATCAAATGATAACCTAGAACTAGGCATTCAGAATAAACAACTCGATGTATGTCGACGGTAGGTACTTGACGCCAGGAATTTCTCAGCTATGTCACACACGAGGCTACTACTAGTTTAGGCTAGTTCCGTTGATGAATTTCATTCGATTAACGCCGTTGCTTCATCACGGGTATAAATTGAGTAAACTTAAAACAAATGTTATAAAAATTTTTCACGCAATGATAGACCCAGCATCGCTTAAAATAGACATTTAAAACTTCGTTATATAACGTTTCTACGGCCTCACGCCTTTAAAATAAGAGACGGGCAACTGTATATGTATTTGTTAATGTATTTTTATACACAGCAAAAATTTTTTAATTCTTTATGTTCTAACTATAATGATAATTTAAACACAATCATAATTTAAAATTCAATGAAAATTCCACAGTTGTTATCCATAGTTTTGTAACAATTTTTTTTTATAACCACACCTTTTTCATTTTTTTTGTTCTCGCTCTCGCTTGCTATATCATTAACTAGAATAGAATAGTACAGAATAGAGTAGATGAGAACAACGGTATATAAATTAAAAAAAAATATGACAAAATTTCGTATTATGCATGTGATATTAAATTGAGATTAATCGGATAAACCAGCCGAGGCATGTAGGAAAGTGATGCAAGTTAAGTTTGAGAAATTATGTAAAAATTAGTAAAAACGTCATTCCACATCGTTAAAATATAAATAAAACTTAAAAAAATGTGACACTATATGAGCAGGATAAATAAATTAAAAAAAATAAATAAAAAAGAACCGGAAAAAAGAGTTTCCCGAAAAGAAAAAAAACTTTTGAATTTCGAGCGCCAGAAATTCCAAGGCGGCGTGGACGGAACATACCTGTGCGGGTGGTGCAGGCGAGCGGCGGCTGCATGCCCTCCTGCATCAGTCCAGAGTTGATGTTCGTGTAGAATTCTAACATTCTTTTCATATAAACGTCTTCGCGGGCACTGACGCGATGCGCACACAGCGCGGTCCGAGCCAACTGTGACGAGGGGTGCCCTCCGTCGGCCTTAGCACAACTCTGCGCCCCCCCTGCCTCTCTCTACCGCCAATGGCGTCGCCCCCGACACCAGCAGACCCCGCCCCGCCCACACCCAACCCATTATACAGATCAGAGCTGTAATATTTCCACGCCGGCACCGCCGCGATGCCGACAAATAGAACTTTTTCGCCGGGCAAAAAGGCCACCGGTGCCGATGGCCGGGACGTCGCCTCCCGACGCAAGTGTTCGGGGTATCTGGAAAAGGGCCCATAAGGCGCCGGTTTCTCAGTCCCCGGCGGTCGGTTGGCACGCCGTCTGACAAGTGTCGAGTTGGAGTACACACATGGAGGCCTCTAACAGAACGGCGCGGCGTAACTTAGTGACCGGGCGCTCGACTGTAACTCCACACGCTCGACCACCTGGCTCCGAATCCCGATGAATCCCGATTGATAAATCCCGATTTTCGTGCTCGGCGATTAAGGGAAACGTCATGAAAATCTGCGTAACAAAAGATGATTGTAAATTCAGAGATTTGTGAAATTTGCAGACCCGCTTTGAGTACTCTGTGCAGAAGAACCTTTGCCCAACTGAAACATATAATGTCATAAATTTTGGCATGACTTTGTGCGCTTTATGCAGTCAATGCTCTATCTTGTGTAAGCTATAGGTATTTACAACTAATTAGATAGTTCCCATCTTATCGTCCTTAGTTTGTTCCAATATTTGTTCTTAGTTCCTTGAAATAACACCTAATTTTTACAGTAGTAGTTAATACAGAGTTGAAGGGTTTCCTTTTGTTTTTGTAATTAAAAGTTATTAAACTTTTCCTTTGTAGTTGTTATGATTTCGTGAACACTACACATGATTAAATGGAACTATTTTACGGATTGATTTATTTTGTTTTCCTTATTCATTTTATACGCTCTTTATAGTTAAAGAAATGAAAAACGAAACAACGCAACGAAAATAAATCACAATGCGAAATTTAATTGTGTTCTTCGTAGCGTTATTTTTAAAATTCGTTTAATTTTAGAATCATATTATAGATAATATAATATAATTATTATAATATAGATAAATAAAATCTTGTTGAATGACTTTTGTTTACTAGCATACAAAACATATGATTAATAAATGATACAAAGGTCTTCGAATGAGACGTTGTCAGCAATAAAACTCATGGCTTTTCCCTTTTGGCAGATTAATTTGAATAATTTGCATGTATATGTGTATCTAACAATTAAGATGCATGTATAATTTAACTTACACACTGGTCATCGACTTGTCACTTCTAAGTTTCAAGTAGTATCAGCTAATAACATTTTATTTCTTATGTTCTAAGTATAGAGAGTCTCTGAAGTAGGTCTAGGGTTGTCGATAGAATTCTAAAATTTGACAACCAATGGCTATCTTTTGGTTCAGATAACTTGAAGGTCGATATATTATGTCGATTATGTTCCATGAGCGCTGCTTGGATAGGTTTAGTATTCATGCATAATGTCTTATGATGTCTTACTTACAAAAGCAGGCTAAACGGGCTGTCTATGGCTTGGGTCCACGTGAGTCACTATGGCATCTATTTAAGCAAATAAAAGTTTTTACGCTTCCGTTGCTTTACATACTCGAGAACATCATGTATGCACGTGATAATATCCACCTATTTACAAAAAAAACATTCCACATCGCGCCGGGGCTGTGGCGACACTCTGGAAATACCGAGGTTTAGACTGGCTAAAACCAAAATGTGGTTTCTTGGTAGATGCCTTAACTTTTAGAATAAGATAAGTGACATCCACAAACAACTAAGTATAAACAATTTGTAAAAACTAAAGGTGACAAAAGGTAAAGGGCCTATTATAAGATCCAAGAATACATTGAGGACAAGGATGTGTGCAAATGACTCCTGCTCTGCACTTGACTGCTCTGACTAGACCCCTGGCTGCTGCTGATTTTACACCTATATAAAATTGTATAATTGCATCACAAAAAAAAAATAACAAGAAAATAGCAAGAGAACTATACCGCAGAAAGATCTTGCCGATTCTTCTCTGTTCAGGTCTAGTTTACTGAAACGGTGGTGTTTTTTTTTTGACGTTCAATAAGAGCTCAAGTTAAGTCTATATTGAAAAAAGATACTTTGACTTTGTATAATGGTTATAACTGAAATTGAGTCTACATTTAATTTATCTTTTAGCGCAACATTCGTTTAAAAACTGTCCCATCATAGACATCACGGCAATTTAAAATGTAAAGCTCCGGAAATTGGGCACGATTGGATAAAAGAGAAAATAAAAACTTTTTTCCCTTCGAAAGCAGCGATAAAATGTATGCCTTTTTATTGTCCCCGACTGTAACTAACCACAGAAATTTACATTGCGTTAGCTTTTCACTTTTTACGGTTAATAGTTTAATCTGTGTGTATGTATGCTAGTTTTTATGTTTATTTACAGATATTTATTTATGAATATGTATTAGATTTTGAAAATTATTTATTCTTAAATATTTAATTAATTTATTACTAGTTTCTATTTTTAAATATTACCTTTGATGTAAGGTAAGATAATCCTTTGTTGTAGAGGCGTTTTATATCCTTTGTTAACAAATAACCCGTTGCAATACATGACCCAGATGGGATCGAACCAACCACCCGCGGCACCTTACACTATCGTTTACCAACTACACCATCGGGAATTCATTCAAGTTGTTAGAAACTCTGACATTGGTTTGTTTTCTCTCTCATTCTACATCATTATTGCGAGTATTATCGCGGAAGCTTCGCCTGTCGTTTCAATAGAAACTTAATTCTGTCAGTTGATTAATTAGCACCTCGCTCAGTGTCGCGATTATACCAAGTGCAAGCTTAGTTCGCTACGTTTATAATTTAGTACAGGCGGTATATTATTACGCGGACTTCACATAAAAATACATTCACTCCCAATTGTCTAAAGGGGTAGGCAAATATAACGGTTAATTAAAGCTCTGATTTTCGTGTCTATACGAGAATAATGTCTATGTGGCTGTCTTTTATTCAATCATTTATGTACGTTAATTATTATTACATTTATGTACATATAAATTATTACATTTATGTACATATAAATTATTACATTTATGTACATTATTTATATGAGGTTTCATTCAATCATTTATGTACATTGTATAAAGCTTGCTCAGAGACAGTCGGTTAGATAGATTTTCTTTATATAAATTATGTTGTCGTTTTCAGTCAGTGCAGCCAGAGCTTATGGATTAGCCAGATTCCACGAGTTTGATATGACAGTGTGGGATAGGGACGCGCTTTGTTAAGTAATGGAGGAATTGGCACCAAAGGACCATCAGGGATCGATGGACATGGGCCCAGAGGGTCCCAAGCAGTTTCATCCCCTTCCGCGACTGGTTTGACGTTACGCGGACATTTTCAAACGGTCGCTTTGGGGTTCGGATGCTAATTTGTTGAATACGACGGGGATGAATTTTGACTACCCTGGAATAGGTACCAGTTTGTTATTTCTCTTTAGTTAAGAGGTCGTCTGACGTCGGGCGTCTCGTCATCGTATTGTAGACTCTGGTACTATAAGTTCCGGCCAAGTTTTGGCAATATCGTGATGAGGCGTGACATTTTTCATCTCGATCTGTGGACCGGGCTTTGCTTGATAATTATCATCGCGTTACCATAGCTACGTGCTTTTTATATACTGCTTGGTGACCTGCTTAATCTTGGCAACCAATGACAACTTTTTGACATTTCCAGGTTATTTAAATAAACCGTTATCGATTGCACTTAATGGATTTACGCTAAATAAGTATAACTTCTTACGTGCGTACATAGGTGCACCACCCTTTCGCGCTATGTGCCCAAAGAAGTCGACGATTCTTCGGAGACAGGTGGTGTGGAGTCTTGTGTAGATTTTTAGTACTGTTAGTATAGATTCTTTGGTCCACAGGTGTACAGGAAAATTTTCCTTATAAGACTCATCCAAAGCTCGTAATCGAATGATGCCTTCTCATTCGATGCCTTCGACTATGAAACAACAAAAACGTTTCCAGCCCACACTAGTAACTATCGCCCACACTATTTCGGCCCGTCACAAATAAAAAGATCGGCGCCTGTTTGCACGGACTTATCCTGTGTTCGGCGATAGGTTTTGAGCGAAAGATAGAAATAGTCAACTTTATCAGTTTATCGCACGTTTCAACATCGAGACGTCGTTACCCATTAAGTATTAGCAACAACGCACGCGGGATTTGCCGTTCCTGCCACATCTTTTCATTCTTTGCACAGAGACATATGCGTTTATGAATCCTCAAAAAGTCGGTTTGGTGGGGCGATGAGCGGGGTGAGCCCGCTCGGCAGGGCTTCGTGGATAGCTCATTGTGCCTCGAGTGGGCCAATTCTCCCATTCAGCCGCCACTTGTACCATCCGCCATGTAAACATCTTGGATGAGCTATACCCTTGAGCACAGTCGTGGATGCGGCAAAGATTACAGTAAGTTAATGTAAATAAAAAAGAAAATTATGTGTGTACTTATGTACGCACATAACAATAAAAGAAAAATAACCAAAATATTTTACTATTGGTTTGTGTAAAATAATTAAATGCTAATTAAATTGATATTGGTTTTATTAAATAACTTGGAATTTAATATGTTTTATTAAATAAATGTCAAAAAGTTGTTATCGGTTGCCTTGGTAATACCGTGAAGTTGTTCGAAAGTTGGTCGTATTGCAACCAACTGCCTACATCACGTCGCTTTTTGTAGCTTTGCTGCTTTGCTGTGCGGTGTAGAAATTATAATCTCACATTTTCTTCCAAACGCGCCAACAGAAGTACCTATGTAACTTCGCCAATCTGCCGTTTCGCCGACAGGTTTAAATCGATCTCTGGTTGCGTCGTTCGAGTCCATTTTTTTAATCCGCGACGAGGACACTCCAGAAGCGCAAAGCGCCGCGTCCGTTCCAGTTCCGTCGTCGCTCCGCGGCCGTTCGGACAGAATTATTATTGTGTTTTCATTTATCGGGCGGTTTGAATGGCGCTGCGTGCGTTTTTTGCGCCATTGTGCCGCCGCTGGCCCCGGCACTTCAAGTCGAACGCTGCTGTGGGCACGAAAAGTGCGGTGCGCAGTTGACGGGTTACGGCGAGGCGGCCCACGAGGCCGGCCGACTCTGGGAATCTGTCCCGGTATTTGAGATCTGAGCGCTCTTCACCAAAAATAGATTTAGATTTTTTATTGAAAAGACTTGTCCGTGTGTCCTAGTATCGGGAGACCTGAACGCTCTTCACCAAAAATAGATCTAGATCTTGAAAAGACTTTATTTTTTTATATTTTATTGTAACCTTTAAAAAAAGTTCGCAAAGGCCGAACTTAATGGCTTTTAGCATTCTCTCCCAGGCAACCCGGGACCGGTGAGAAATCGTGGTAGGTGCAATTATTACATTAAATTATTGATGTGATTTACTATGTAATATATAAGTACTTAAAACATATAATAATTTTCATAAACAAAAAAGAAAATAATTTTATGTTACCATCATGGATTTGAAAGTAATTTTTCATTATCCATATTTTGCCGAGTTGTCAAAAGTTACTTGCTAGTATCGCCACATAAAGAGAATTTTAACTAAAAAAAGTTTTAAAAAATGTCTTTATTTTCTGAAAGGATTTACAAAAAATCACAACAGATAAAATACAACACATACAAAAAGTATTGGTGCACGAAAGCTGTACAGTAGCTTTCAAAAGGGTTTTCATAGAATTGGATGGATATTTTTAAAAGTTTATATACAAACCATCAAAGTACCTGTTTACATTAATTATTTTCACACATTAACCGTAATGTAATGTACCGAACTAAGGAAACCCTAGTACACAAATTCATTTCAGTAATATTAATATAGGATTTAACATTATTCGCAACCCTGTCCGGATTAACTGCAGAAGAATGGTGAATCGATTAACCAATACGTTTTGTTAACAGAGGAAATACGGTCGATGCGACGCGGCTAAATAGCGGTGTCGTCCATACAAAAGTAATTCGTGCATTTCAACTTGTGGAGGCAACCGAGCTTGGCTCCAAATCGCTCCAAACAGTTTATGTACGGCTTTTAAAACGTCTATGTTTACAAAAAAAAAAAAGGATAAGCAAACTGCTTAGGCACTATAGCCGCTTATCTTCACGGCACGATTTACCAATTGGCTTTGGCGATGATTAATTATAACAATTTTAATGGACGAATTTTGATTGGATGCTCTCAGTTAATTCATTTACACGCCGATCGGAATCTTGCAAATGTACATTTTTAAGTTAAGTGATAAATAAAATCTCTGATGGCCCAAAGTAAGTCAGTGTGTGACTTAGTTTGGGCTTTTAGCTTTTAGTGTTCTTAGTAAAGTTAGTAAGTCATTTCTATCATCTCAAAAAGCTTTGTTATAATAGTTGTTATGTTATAACATTAACACGGCCTTACGGGAGATCGCTGCAAAGTAACTTTTAAAGATATTTGCATTTCGTGAGCTTTGTGTCATGAGTTAGGCATGTTTATTTTATTATAATTACCTTACATTTTAAAATCGCAACTTCACTACACTGCTTTTCGGATTTCCATGAGCAGTAATCATTCACCTTTTGCCATGAACCTCACAAGCTCACAATAATTACAATTTAAGCATTATTGACTATCTATATGTAGAAATAAAATATAGTTTTTAATGAAATAATATATTTTTTAATTGTCTGCTTTTTGTGATATTCTGTTACATATTTACAGTTTTATCACTCTTCCTTATATTCTTTTTTTATCCTTTAAACGAGCAATTCTTGTGTATATATATATAATCGGAATCGTGGAAACGGCTCCAGCGATTTTCATGAAATTTAGTATGTGCGTAGATTCGGGGGCGAAAAATCGATCGAGCTCGGTTTCATTTTTAGAAAATGTCCTTTTATCCCTGTTTTCAGGGAATGAAAAATATCATTCGAATTCGACGGTAAATTTCGCCGCAAAAAAAATGTTATAACAGCTCGGTCAGTAATCGGGCGCCCCCGAAACAGAAGGCCGTGGTTCGTGTCACGATCATTTACACATATATTTTTTTACTTTTTTTTCGTTTCCAGATCATTGCTTTCTTTTTCTTTATTTTCTTTCTTTTTTTTTGGATTTGTTATTTTGTTCTTTTTCCCTTTTTTTTTAAAGTTCTTTCTTTTGTGAAAAACATCAGTTCATATTTTCTTATTATTACGTCGGTAAGTATCGAAAAAAATTATGCATATTTCATTATTCAGTAATTTGTATCTGCATGTAATTTCCAAAACACACGATTTAACACAAAAAACAAACCGAGCAAAGCTCGGTCCTCCGGGTACTATAACTTTATATCATATATTATAGATAAAATTATATGTACGTACTTCAAATTTCGTCTGGGCAGAAGATCGAGCTATTGACTGACGGCGTAGAGTCGGCGCCCACTGGCTACGTTAAACGCGGATGCAGCAAGTTGCACGCGGATATAAGTCGAATCCCGTCGGATATACGATCGGATAAAGCCAGTTTAGCAGTAAGCCCGTAACGATCCATCTAATCTGGTTTAAAGGCTTACGTCATCCACCATTATCGGGTATTAACTACTTTGCGCATTTTTAAGCGGGCGACCATTGAAAATCGCAACGGCAAACGCTAAGTCATTGCACAAACGACATCGGGCGGCGCGAAATTGTGCACATCTTACTTCATCGATCATCCACCTCTACTTGTACGTTTAACGCATTAAATTACACACGTGCTTTAAAAATATTATTATTGAAATAACGAACATTACCAACGACTAGTATTAAAACACATGCGAAGTAAAAATCCTTCGATGTGAATGCGGCTTCGCGTGTGTATTTTGACGAGCATATTTGATTTTTGCCCGTGTTGCACGCGACTCTTTGAGACACGTCTATTTTGTCAAAAGGTAAACATTCGGTCCCATATTTTTGCAGACTCAAATACGTTGGTTTATTGCCGCGTACTCTTTTTCCATTTTTGTTCCTATGCTTGCTTTTATGAAACGTTAAATAAAACTTTAATATTAAAAATTCATTTATCCGAAAAAACGCTTCAGCGTTTTTATGATACGTCGATTTTTACATTATAATTGATACGTAAGTTAGTCACATACAAAACATTACAATAAATGTATGGATAGGCTCTCTGTTGAGTTTGTTAATTTATTCAAGTAGATCTCTAAGTGTATTCCGGGCTCCGAAGTTAATGACGCTTGAAGGTGGCTTGGACATCTCTTTTTTGAAGAATAAATATAAAATTTATATCCGATGCACTAACTACCCCACAACAAAACGCCGTACGACATGACTTTATATACTTTACGTTTTTGTTTGTCGTTTTGTATTTTTTTTATGTGAAAAGTTGCCAAGCGAGCAGACGGTTCACCTGATGTTAAGTGAATACTACCGCCCATGGACATCTGCTACATCCGAGGGTTCCAGATGCGTTGACAAACTTTTGAAAGTTGGGCTCCGGCCACCTCACTCACCAGACGAATCGCGAAAGTATTATACTTCCTCTTTACGCCGGTCTTCTGTGAGGTCGTGGTACTTACCCGGACGAGCCTGCCCATCCGTGCAACAGCCGAGGTTGCTGCGTGGCCCTACCACTAATAAAATTTATTACTTAATAAAGATTATAAGTATTTATTACTTATATTTTTTATCTGTATTATTTATCATGTGTATCGTGTATCGCGAACGGGCTGGTTGTTACGTTGCTGTTGAGTATTTTACGGTGGACGTAGGCATCCGCAACCACCGTTGTATTCGGTGTACGTAGTCCACCTTTAGAGGATGCACTCGATCATCAGACTCACCAGGCGAAAGGTGATATGTCCATCTTCTCGTTCTTTACGCTGGTCATGTGGAGCTGTAGAGGTCGATGGAAGTGCTGGCCCATTCGTAGAAGTCGCCGCTTAGCAATAATAAGCGGGCAAAATAGCACAGTTACTTGAAACATTTCAATCGTCTGAACGGCAAAGTTTATTTGCGAAGGCGATTCCCACAGACGTTAAATGTTTTTGAGCTTATACTTCTTTTGGCGCGTTTAGAAAAATAAATACGAGATTACAATTTTTATGATGCGACAGCCAAAAAGCGACATGATGAAGTTAGTTGTAAAGCGACCAACTTCGACTGACTTCACGGTATTACCTTGACCACCAATAACAACTTCTTGCTGTTTACCTATAATTCCAAGCTATTTAATTAAACCGTTATGAATTGCATGTAATGTCTTTACTCGTATCACAAACAAATAGTACTGGTAAAGGGTAATAAAATTTTTAGTTATTTTTCTTTTGTTACGCCAAAGAAGTGTAACTTCTTATGCGCATACTTAATTACACATATAATTTATTTAATTATGTTTTGATGATTTTATCAAGTGAAAAGCGTTCATAGCGCCAGGAATGCAATTTAGCGTTAGATGCGATGAAAATTGGTAAAACTGTTTCATTTAACGGACGTGGGTACTGTTTGCTCCTTTCTCCCTTTTTAGCCGGCGTATCGTTTGTTTATTTCGTTTTGTGCCACTCGCAAGTTTTGTTTGAATAATGTTTTCTAAGCTGAGTTTTTCAGCGTGCTTAAAGTTATATTAAACTCCGTTCCCATATTGCTTATGTTGTAAATTTAAAGATTTCGACCTTTTCCTCGTTTTATTTAGCTGAAATCAAATGAATATTGCAGTGAACAATACGTTTACAACGCTATTTCCAATAACATATTCATGCACTTTTACAAATTGTATAACGAAAGATATCGCTACCTGTATCTGTTTGCTTAAATTTGTATCATCGCTGTAGTCGCCTAATGGATAAGTATTAAACTGAATAACGGTCAGAACAATTATAAGTTATTAACAAGGTAAACGATAAATTAATTTATGATAACATCACCCGTGTATTCATTATAATTATGTATATATATAATTTTAAAGAGAAATAATAGCAAGCGAGCCACCTGTTCACATAATGTTAAGTGATTATCGACGCCCATAGAGACCTACAACACCTGACGGATTACAAATGTGTTATGAACCAGTAAAACAATAGGCCTTTTTTTGTAAACGTGGGGGAATGCCTAAGTATACCCGCCCTCGGGGGCTTGGACGGGTTATGTTGTACTCTTAACGTTGAAAACCCCCGCAATGTTCCACCCAGGCGCTCTTTCGGACCATTCCGCGACCCGGCCAGCACTAGCCGCCTAAAAGCCTCCCCTCTCCTTAGAGTGAGGCACGAGAACATTCAGCGCGCCTTCCTACTCGGCCCTTTATTTCACGGCCAACACAAGCCAATAGCCAAGCGCAGGAGAGCCCCAGCCTTAGCGGCAGACCTGGGCTCCGCCGTTCACCATGTTTCGGCCGCGGACGATAGGGAGAACGGCGTATAGAAATACCCACACATCTCTCCTCCATGGCCCACCGCCACTGCATCAGCGGTGCAGCCCCGCGCGGTGTCCGGAGGATAGGGAGAGCGGCCAAACGCAATACCGGCACTCTTCTTCCTCCGTGACTCCTCCTCGGTAGCAGATGACAGGGAGAGTGGCTCCACCTCTACCACCCTCTAGCAGGCATCCAGAGTAGGCTTAATACCGGACCGGCCTAACACCACAGACCAGCCCCGCGTGGGTTTCTCTTGGCTTCACGAGAGAGAAAATAGTAGGCCTAGGTTAACTCACTTGCCAGACGAAACCGTGCATTGATCGTGAGGAGAGACTACATAATCTACATAACTTCTTTGAAACAAAAAAATCTTTTAACTGCGGTAGAGCCACGGAACGGTCCTCGCTGTAACACCGGGCAGGTCCATCCGGGAAAGTACTACGATCTCACAGAACGCCGGCGTAAAGTAAAACTGTTATACTTCTGCGTTTCGTCTGGTGAGTGAGGTAGACGGGGCCCACTTTATTTGAAGGTGGCAACGCATTTGCAACCCTACGGGTGTTGCAAACGTTCATGGGTGGCGTTTATCGTGTAACATCAGTTGAACCGCCAATACGATTGAAACCTTCTCAAATAAAAAAACGAGCTTTGCAACAGCACACATTCAATAAATTTCAGAGGCATTGGCGTGAGCCCACGGAAGCTGAGATAAAAACAGCTCCGAAGCAAATGGAATTAAAAACAGTTTAAACTCAAGTACTATCTACTTGCGTTTAAAATTTTTAAAAATGTTTTCAATTAAATTTTTCTTTTATGCCTACCCTATTGTGCAATCGTTAAACTCTCAATCGACCAGCACAATATTTTTGAGCAATGAAATAAAACCGATAACCGTGTATCTTTCTCTGACATAAAATTGATACAGCCTCATCATGGATTATACGTAAATAGCCCGAATTAAGGAATAAAATCGATGATTATATGACACGTCTAATGGAGTAAGTTCATTTCAACTTCCTGACCCCCTCTCACTTTAACTATTCTTTTCACTTAAAACTCTCCATTAATTGTCCCTTTTATAGGTACGAATTTCCATAGTCTTTTATGCATAATGTATCAGGATAAGGTCGTCTAAGGGCGGAATAAAACGAAGGTTAAAGAAAGCTTTTCGAGTGGCAGCCTCGTATTGGTCAGTGTAGATAAACCCCCCACTTCCGGGGTGTACTGTACAAATATGTAAGTCAATGGATGAAGGTGGCTCTGGGCCGTGCTTTGTGGCAGTTTGTGACGACCTTCGATCGTCAGTGGCAGTTCGGCAGTGACTGGCTTGGAATTTTAAACTCCTTGTGACTATTTTTACATTGTTGACCAATAGGTAATGTTGCTTACATGTATACCTGACTAATTGTATGTTTTTCGTAATTTTTATTCTTAAACTTAGCTAGATATTTCAAAATTGTTGTTTTGAGATGCTTATCAGAAAATGTTATTTCTCTAATTAATACGTAATAACTTTGGTCAATATTTTTTTTAATACATTGCCCTTATTTTAGGCTAACAATATCCTGTGTTTTACAAACACAAACTTCACGTGGACAAACGCCCAGACGTGAAACAACTATCTGTGGGTCGTACAAATACTTGTCCCGTGTGGGAATCGAACCCACGACCCCTGACGCCGAAGCCAATATCTTGCCGACTACGCCACGGAGCCACCAAAATTGTGACCAATCTAAATAATTTTAGATCCGATCACTGGAATTAATTTGAGCCGCCAAAAGTTTTCCGATGACCTTAGAGTTTTAAACTATCTTTAGCCAGTGTCAAATTATTGACAAATTTCTATGTTTCTGACGTTGTATTCTTGACGAATTCCGGCCACTTTTTAAGATTTCAAATTTCATCATTTAGACTGTTTAATAGATGTGGCCTTCTCTTCCGTACCATGGTCGTATACTCATAAAACTGTTATATTCATACTCATACTGTGAGGACATCATACTAATTATAAAAAAAAATATTGTTGAGAAAATAAATTACACACAATAGGTTCTACAGTGCCCGGTATTATAATTTTATTACTCTCACATTTCAGCTTATAATATTAGTATAAGCGAACTACTGGCTAAACCAAACATTTCGTTACTGCGAAAATCTCCTTTAATTGCACGTGAACAGACAAGCCTAACTACCTGTTAGTTTTGTGTTCCATAGTCATTATATACTTTGCACGTAAATCAAAAGTCCAGTGCACATAACAAATTAGTTTAAACGCATTAATTAGGAACATTGGGCAAACGGTGTCAACAAGCCGTTTATGCCGAGCCTTTGTCGGGCGCTCTGCGCACAATTACATAGTGTGCGTTAATTAAATCTATTCATCGCTCTTCAATGAGCCAGCGGGTACTGCAGAATGTGTGCACATTCTGCAGTCCAATATGCAGTGGACCGTCACACAAAGTTAAGGATTGCTTTGTTCATGACAATAGCTGGATGTGCTTGATAGTTTCGCCAAACCGAACTGTCCGCGTATTTTATAGAAAACACATTGGCACTTAGGTTTAAATGAATAAAAAAATATTTAAGACACATTTTTACATAAGGTTCTCGTTCTTTAGGCCCAAACTAAGCAACGCTTGTATTATGGGTACAAGATAATTGATAAACACACTCAAACATACTTACTTTTCTTTTTTGTACATAAATACATAATATTATACTCGTGCATATATAAACACCCTGACACTGGAAAAGCACTATCTATGTTCATAACACAATATTTTACTTAACACAACGCGTACACAAGGTACACCCGCGTTCCGGGGCGGTTCACGCCGATCCCATCGCCACCGATTAGCTTATTGCACAGTCGACGGCCATCGGGGTTTCGGTCCGAACCGCGACCTCGATGGCCATTAGATGACACACCATAGTTAAACGCACGCATGAGCACATGCGTGGCCCTACCCACAGCGTTGGGCCCAAACCCGTGGGTTCTGGCTAGCCCACCGGTTCTGCGTCAGATGAAGCTTTAATAGTCTCGGGACTGAAAGCAAAAACATCAGTTAATACAAGATACAAGATACAATATTTTCCAGTAGTGGGGATCGAACCTACACACTTGTCCACTATGCAAACCGGGTCGTCAATCAGTTTGACACTAAAGTTTTGCTTATAGGATCCCGAATGTTTTTTTAAAAAATTATAGATTCGTCAAAAAAATTATTATGTTCGTCAGCGAGTCGGTGGCTTATCAGGTGTTTAGTAAACACTTCCGCGCGTGTTCATGTACATATTGCTCAAAGCCTACATCCTCTAATTATATGGGCCCTTGTTAGTTCACTGAGCGGAGGAAACGCAAAAGAATAAATACTTCGACTTTTCGCTGGTGTTATTTGAGGCGCCGCGGACAAACCCGTGCTGCAAAATAAGCTTCGGTGATGAGCTAGAGTAAAAATTTTAAAAAACGAAAAAGATGGTTTATTCGGTGGTGTTAATGGTGTAAAATTGAATTGTGAAGTTAAGGAAATTGATAGGCGTTTTCAAATGAAGCAGTGGAACCTTAATTTATTTTCTTTTAATATTTGAACTTCATTCTTTAAAAATGTTAGCACAAAGGCGGGCCTCAGTCCAAAGGCATTTTGTGCCGATCGAACTAACAGGCGGCGTACAGAAGTATAGATGGGTAAAAATTTAAAAACATTTCATTTTGAGATTATGTTTCACAATATAGATGACTCTGCGACGCATCGCCAAGTTATAAGCTTCGGCGCCGGGCGTCTCTGGTTCGATTTTCACACGGGACAAGTAATTGTGTGACACACAGATAGTTGTTTCGCATAAGAGTAGTTGTACGCGTGAAATTTATGTTTGTCAAACGTCCCTCACACACAGCACAGGATAATGTTATCCTTTTATGTGTAAAGTTACCAAGCGATCAGACGGTTCACCTGATGTTAAGTGAATACCACCCATGGATATCTGCTATACCCGAGGGTTCCAAATGCGTTGACAACCCTTTGAAAATTGTGCTCTGGCCACCTCATTCACCAGACGTATTATAAAGTGGCAATGTTTTTAAAAAAGTAACAAAAATTAAAAATAAACAGTGCCGCGGCTAAGGAGGTTGAGGTAGCAGATACGAATAAGTTACGTACACGACGGAGTCTTCACGGATTTTATTAACGCGAAAATAACCGTCTCACCGGCTCCCAGTCTGTCACGAGTCGTATTATATTAGCCGTTTGTCTACCCTTTGAGGTTAATAAGACACGAGTGCTGCATTAATATAATGCTTTCTAATTTAATATAGACAAATAGAGATCCCAGTCGTATAATTTTTAGAGACATGATTTTGGAGTAATACTACATTAGCTGTTATGTATTAGCAACGTATATCATCAAATATATATCACCTATTGTTGTAAATTTGTGAATTATATTCTCTATGTATTATTGTAAAACTTTTTCGAATAATGTCTTTGTTCAAACCAGATCTAACCCAGCCATAAAGGCTCTCTAAAAAGTTTCTCCTTATAAAGAGACTATATTCTCAGCACCGACCTCTACACATTGGTACTTAACAGGCGAACTTGCGTGGCTTTTAATTATTTTTTGTTTTCTTTTCTTAATAGTTTTTTTTTTCATAATTTAACTTTTACTTGTTGCTAGATCCAATAGTTACTATTCAGAATCCGAAATCCACGGTTACATTGTATGCTCAGGCGTATTCGAATGGCCATCAATCAACATATATTAACCGGATGCCGGTGTGTTTGTCACGCGAACCTATTCTCGTTATGTTACTTCTTAATCGATTTTTCATTAGAAATCTTAGCGTCAGAGCGTTTGACAATTGCCTACATTTTTCCGCTCTCAAACCTCTGGAATAGGGGACCTAGGGTTGAGTAAAACGTATGTAGCGCTCCTTGGTTCCTTTGATCAAAACCAAAAAGCGTTTGCTGCAACGGCTCCCTTGACAAACGCTAAAACCGCGCCAAAAGTTGGCGCGTCGCACGCAAAACAGCGTGTCGGCGTGTGGAGGTGTGGTCCGCTGATAGTTTCCGAAGTAACTTTGCGTCGGACAACAGCAAACAGGTCGAGCAAGCGGTGCCACTGCTAACGGCGGGGAGCAATCGCCCCTGTCCGTGCTGACGGGCAGCGTTTTTGCATACCAATAGCGATTGCTACGTATTCGTAGCAGGTGGAATGCCAACCGCCCCCAGTGGGTGGGTCTCGCCTACGTCAATAGCGCCGTGTACCACACGTGCCGCAGACGCGGAGAATGCCAGCTTGCCGCCCGCGACAACCCACAATGCACCCTGCTCGCACCGTCCACGGCACACTTTCGACCGTCGCCTCCGGAATCTTATGCGAAGAGGGACTCGTATTCCCCTATCGTAAACATGGGGCTGTGTTCCGCTCTAGAATATTCAAGTCGCGGTAGACGCGCCAAGAAAGAAACGTGGGTGTGTTGCCTACAGTGGGAAAGTTCATTAGCATTAAGGTTCGTGCCGACGTACATATTGATTATAAGAATTTGCCATAAAATCAGTAGTCATACTTTTAGTAAATAAAATCTCATTTTCAAACCACTCTATAAATTTAATTGGCCTAGAAAATTTACTTTTTACTAAATACTAATCTTTATATATATTTTTCTTCTGTGCGTGTGTATGTCATTGAACTCCTTCTAGACGGCTGGACCGATTTTAATAAAATTTTTTGCGTGTCTTTAGGACGATCCGAAAATAGTTTAATTTCACAATTCGTTCTACTATATATTTTTTTTTATTTATAGTTTATTGTCGGATTTAAGCCGTGTGTACAGCACAACGTCTGTAGGGTCCGCTAGTTTAATTATAAAATAATGACTGTTTTGATCCAATATTTCAAACCCTTGTAATTATAATTCTCCTCCTGTCCATTTGACATATTATTTAAATTAATTGATGACTCCGTGGCACAGCCGCCAAGGTATCGGCTTCGGCGTCGGGGGCCGTGGGTTCGATTTCCACACGGGACAACTATTTGTGTGACCCACAGATAGTTGATCCGCATCTAGGTGTTCGTCCGCGGGAATATTATGTTTGTAAAAACGTCCTTACAACACAGGATAATGTTATCCTAATGTAAGGGCAATGTTATAAAAAAAAATATCAGCTCTTAGTAGTAGCATTAGTACTAATTAATTTATAGAATACGATTCTTCTCTATGTGAAACAAAATAGTAAATGATTTGAGGACAAGTAGTGCTATCTTATACGTCATCTTATGAAGTATATCCAATCTGTATTTATGTTGTGACCCGCAAATTTGCATACCAACTTTCACTCGAATAATAATCAGCGCTCGCTGTATCTCTGAAAGGTCGCACTTATGTAGGCATAAAACAGTTCCGTTTTGCGATACCAACAATAATCTTAGACGGGGGATGCTTGAGAGCATTCTAGCGTACTCGGGATTAAGAAGGCAGCGTCGGCTCACTAACGTCAATGCACATTATTTTTTATACATAAATCTTGACGAAATGAAACCGGGCACGTAATCTCCCCGCACGCTTCCTTGGTATGCGATTACGTCGAAGTTTGCCCCTACTAAAAATTAAGAGAGATATCTATATTCTATATATTAATAGGAATAGGAATACCCCTCTTTAGGAAAATTGCGCGGACGGAGGAGTATGAAATTTCCCACAATTATAGTTTAAATAGAGAAGGAGTGCAGAGCGATATTATTTTTCAACCGACTTGAAAAATGGAGGAGGTTCTCAATTCGAATGTATTTTTTTTATTCTTTTTTATTTGAAAGCTGGTACTTTCCATGTCGCGGTGATAGCTCAGTGTCCGGATGCTCGCCTTTAATTTAATATACTCGAGTAACCTGAGTTCCAATGAAATTGTCAATTTTAAGCGCTGAATTATCACGTGCTCGGCGGTGAAGGAAAACATCATGAGGAAACCTGCATAATTTCGAAATAATAACAAACAAGATATTAAATGAAAGTAGTTTACGGATTTTATCGCGTTTTTTATTTTGATTTGAACTCCCGACGTTTCGAACCCTTTCTTGCGTTCATGGTCACGGGACAGACTGACTAAGTTGAATTAGTTAGTAATGCTAGTTTGCTCATAATAATTAGTTGCTAATTGTTGAAAGTAAGAGAAGGCCCAGCAGTGGGACTTGTATAGGTTGATACTTTACTTTTTTTTACTTCCCATGTGGTCCCCTAATAATTTCATTGGTATTGAATCTTGGGCCCCAGAGATACCGGAACTCCTGAATATCAATTATAAAATGAATACACAGCGAGGTATTTGAAATGGGTTTTGTTTTACTTTAAAAAAAAATTGAATTGTTTAAAATTGTGCATAAAAAATACATTAAATCAACACAGAAAAAATTACTAGATTAATATTCTTCAAGCTTGGTCGAATTTCGACCACTTGTGCTTTCAGTCCGTAGACTGTGCAATGCTTCATCGGGCCAGACGCGTGGTAAGACTAGGTTTCCATGAGCTTGTTAGACCCTATCTAAGCAGAGGCACGCATGTGGACGGACATTCGCGCATTAGCAAAACGTCGAAGAGACTTTCGCATGACTTTTGTGGACGACTGCTTTATTTGTCCGCTGGGGGATAGATATTCAATTGGGTCAGTGCGAATGTTTTTGATGCTTGAGCCCTGGATCGATTGCCTTATGGGCTAGTGACAGCAATTTTGTTGGTTGAAATATCTGCTTTGACAGGCGTAAGCCTCGTCGCTTCAATTTCTTCAATACGCTTAATCATTAAGGTTGTAGAAAAAACGGACGAAAAGATGTTCGCCGCTGTGCGGATCGAATCTACGTCTTCGTATTCGCGCCCAGAGACTTTAACCACTAAGCTAAACGACCGATTGCCGCACCGACGAAAATCTCAACGTATTTTAAACTAGCTGTTAACCGCGGCTTCGCCCGCGCGGCCCAAGGGAATTAAAAATGAGTTTTTTTATCATACACCAGAATATATCGCAGATGGCTGAATTTTTTCCTACTACTTGACATTACCTACATTTTGGACAATTCACAAAATATCTTTATAAATTATTGACTATGTGTTATTCTGATGTATAAGCTATGTTATTGTAAAGTTTTATTAAAATCCATTCAGTAGTATTTGCGTGAAAGAGTAACAAACATCCATCCATCCATACATACAAACTTTCGGCTTTATAATATTAGTAAGGAAGTAAGGATTCTAGCTGCTGCCCGCGACTACGTCTGCGTGGAATAGGCTGAAGGTGTAACATTAAGACAGAAAGACAGTTATACATAAAATATGTATATAAATTATAGCCTATGTCTTATTCTGATGTATAAGCTATATTTTTGTAAAGTTTCATTAAAATCCATTCAGTAGTATTTGCGTGAAAGAGTAACAAACATCCATCCTTACACACAAACTTTCGTCTTTATAATATTATAGTAAGGATACACGTTTTTGTCGAACTTCTAGCAAAGCTAGGCGCTCCTATTGTTATCTCATTTTCAGCAGACAAACTATTTCAAAATATCGTCTTACAACGAATGAACAATCGTTTCAAGGACGATATTTCGTGAAACCCTTAAATTAGTTCTTCTTAAAACAGAATTTTCAGTCTACCTACTTTTAGAGGACCTTAAAACGCTGCCTTTTTGAATACAGTATATTGCGAGGCGGGTCTATGTAAATTGACTCGCAAATTCCACGATTTCAATTTTCATGTTCCGACGATTTTCTTTTGACAATTTTTTGTCGATCGCCGAATAAATTAATTAAGGCATATTTTTTGATGACTAAATTTCTTTTAAATTACGTTTGAAAATTATTAACCAATTCATAAATACAATAAACAAAGTAGTAGTATATGTATATGTGTGTGTGTGTCAAATACATGGTAGTGTGTGTAATATTTTCCATACTGATTTAATGTATTTTTAATAAATATTAAAACATAATATTTGTATTTTTCATACTCCTCCGTCCACGCAATTTTCTTAAATAGGGTTACAAAGTTTTTGCTTCACGTATTAATATATAGTAGACAACATAATATACAGGGTGGCTTTTCTAAGTGTATCCATTTTTTTATTAAACTTTAGACATAAATATTGTTATATAAAAAGTGATAAATATTTAAAATCACTCGTAACTACTTAATTACATTCATTTGAAATTATCTCAAAAAGTGCGTGATTTATACGCTCGATCTTTCGATCGATTTTCGAAAATTTAAGTATTTATGAATGACTACCGCATTGTCAACACGCTCTGTTTTTTAGGGAAAATAGAATGGCATTTTTTTTGAAAAAAAAAAAAAAGGAAACCTTATTTTTTATTTCAATAAACGATTATACTACCGATTATGAACCTCCTGTGTAAATTTGGGCACTTCTAAAAAATCTTCCTGTGTACATAAATGAATGTGACAGATGATCTAGAATGTATGATACGGAAAGAGTTAGCAGTATATGGAATTGAAATTTAACTACACCAGTTGGCGTAATTCTTCTTCGTACTTGTGTACAATAACATTGGGTATTGCCATTGAAATAACGATATTCACAACTAGGACAGCTGAATTAATGTATTCTTCACTCTCGAATTAATATGATCGCATTTGAAAGTAGAAATTGCACACGAATAACTGCGAAATTCTCGTCACACATAGAAGTGCGTGTGTTGTTACCATCGTGATATTTTGTTACGTGAGCAATTTAAACGCGAACGCGTGTCGCTTTTTGGTACAATTCGTTGGACGAAGCTTTTTCGTTTTATTCCAACCATAAGGGCTGCCGCGAGTTTACTGGATAGCTTTATTTTTAACTTCGTTCAATTCCGAAAATTCCAAATTCTTCGTTCCGTATCCCCCCTTTTCGTTTTAATCTGCTCCTTTGCATGCAATTGATCTATGCCTGGCAATCGTTTTGTGCTCGACCGTTCCCCTGTCACAGTGTAGCGACATTGTAGCAGGCTCATTAAGCTGCAATGAGATGAAACGGGGCGGGGAGATTTAATCGCGGGCGGACGCCGCCGCGTGTCTATATTTTTTACACGTGTGATTCCGCTCGGCAAGACTAGTGCACGGACCTGCATATGTGCTGCTGGGAGAATAGCCCTGGCTCAAGGCTTGCGTCGTGGCTGCGTGGAGAGTTAGGTGTCTATGGAAGCTGAACAAGATGGCGCGTGATCTGATGTAGTAAACAGATTAAGAAATTGGTTATTCCTATGTCGATTTGTTGCGATTACGATTGCTAGCATCGGCTTCACGGCGAAACGTGAGGTGGGCGCACCGAAAATCGGCCAGAGCACAATCGGCCCTAACGAAATGTCGCTTATAATGAAAAGCGGGGCGGATTCCCGTTAAATCGCGACACGTGGCCGGCACGCGGCGGCATCACAAAGCCCCGCGTCGCCTCATATTTGGACACGGCTATTTCATAATGTTACCGATAAATATTCCAATGAATATCCACTTATTATTACATCCAATACGGTTTGTAACGATGGCGGCAACGCGTGAACGGAAATGTAATATCAACTGTGGCATGTATGCGTTCCGACCTACCAATAAATGTATCCTAATCGAGAGTTCACCCTGGATAATTGTTAAAAAAAGTAATATAACGAATATATATATAACATATGAATATAATTAAGTGGAATTTCCGTAAGCGCTATAAGTTTAGTCGTGGTGTCGCGGGACACAAAAAAAGGTAGTTATTTCTTAGGTTTTCGCGATTGTTACATATTAAAATAAGCAACTATGTATGAATTCATCGCGTATATTTCATTGTCATTTATATTATCATATACATTTTTTGTCATTTCTTGGCGTTTCAAACACGTTGCCGTGTCTGAACACAAGCAATCGTTTAATTGAATTTTTCTAGATGTTGATAAAAATCAAATTCAAAATTAATTAACTATTTACTGTAATGAATAAACATTTTGGATTCGGTTATTTTGCCCGGTCTATTATCAACTCCATTTATTGACAATTTTTTTATAGGAGGTGGCAAGTGAGCTGGCAGTTCACCTGATGTTATGTGAAAACCGCCACTCGTGGACATGTGCAACACCCGTAGGGTTGCAGATGCGTTGCCACCTTCAATAGAGTGGGCCCCGGCTACCTCACTCACCAGACGAAACGCAGAATAATAACACTTCTACTTCACCCCGGTCTTCTGAGAGGTTGTGGCACTTACTCGCACGGACCTGCCCATTCGTGCAAGTAGAAATCGTATTCTGCTATCTTTAAGATTCGGCATTAACTTGTTCAAACCCTTCCTTTGATAGTGAAATTATACTTTTATTTTAATCACAAAGACATCTTTAGTTTGCAAATATTGCTATAAAAAATATTTCGCTTTGTAATTAAGCCTTTTTTGGCAAATATTTTGTTAATAACGTCTGGGAACAAGAAACGTTGAGTATTTTTAAAATAAAAATAAACCACGATGTATCCGTAAGTGAGTTTTATTAAAACGCCCAATATTCGCGTAAATAAAAGAAGTCTAAGAAGACACTCGGATTTATTCAAATAAAATGTTTGCTATTAACTATGAATCACCATTCATCTTAAACTAATCATAAATTTTAACTAAAAAAAACAGGCCATGTGCAAGCAGGATTCGCACACGAAGGGTTCCGTACCATCTATAAAACGGCAAAAAAATCTGGTCTGTTGTATGGGAACCCCACTTAAATATTTTTTAGAAATACATCATTTGGGAAAATTTCAAGTGTCTTACTTACTATTTATCACACTATCACGGTTCAGAAGATACAGCCTGGTGACCGACGGACAGACAGACAGCGGGTTCGGTACCTAAAGGCTAAACCTATTATTAAGTTACTCGTATGTTTACCCTTTGGGTATCGAACCGTAAAACCAGGTTTCAGTTAAAAATATGATTTTCCATGGAAATTTTAAGGTGCGAAATAGTCGTTTTAATTGTATTTTTTTCATCCATACTAATATTATAAATTAAAATATGTAGAAAAAGTGCGAAAAGATTGTCGCCGCTGTGGGAATCGAACCCACGTCTTCGGCATTCGCGGCCTGACGCACTAGCCGTTTAGCTCAGTGGCTAGAGCGTCAGGCCGCGAATGAATAATCGTTGTAAAACGATATTCGAAGTTGTTTGTATGCTGGAAAGGATATAACAATATATGGCGCCAAGCATTGCTTCAAATGCTAAGAAAACAATGTAGAAGAATGCGTTAAGATTTTCGTCGGTGTGTTAATCAGCCGTTTAGCTCAGTGGCTAGAGCGTCAGGCCGCGAATGCCGAAGACGTGGGTTCGATTCCCACAGCGGCGACAATCTTTTCGAACTTTTTCTACATATTTTAATGTTCAATCTTAAGTGCAAAGATTAGCACTATAAACAATTTAAATATTATAAATGTTAAAGTAACTCTGTCTGTATGTCTCGCTTTCACGCCAAAACTACTGAACCGATTTAAATGAATAGAGCCTGAGAAAGGACATAGGCTATTTTTTTATTGGAAAAAGTGTTTAAAGGGTTTAAAATATCTTCAACGCGACTGAAGCCGCGGGCCAAAAGCTAGTTGTAACATATTTTAAGAAGCTATAAATCAGTTTAGGTATGCGTTTATTTTAAATATTCTGAATATGAATTTAGTAAAAATTATTTTGGGCATTGATCAATCTTAATATCCGCCTGTCGAACTGTGTCTTACCTGAGCGATTGTCATTTAAACTTATGTGTAAGTAGAACAAAATACCACACCCAAAGAAAATTATCCACTATTGTTATAATTCCATCCATCCAGACCATTTACGAGCGCGCTGTAGTGGGTGCTACGCGTAGCAACATAATTGTATAATAGTTTAGTGTTTCCAAAAGAAATTTCAATAATTTACGCTCTTATCAATTATACTTGCCTATGTTAATGCGTAGTTGCGTTATTAACCCATTTGTAAGAAGTGAACCCATGAAGTAAGTAATGACTTACTTCATTCATTCTTTATTCGAAGAAGCCAAAACGATGGTTGTGTTAATGAGGGGTCGGATTTAGAGAACTTTCTAATTTCAACGGCTTCCGTAAACTCTTGCAAAGTATACGTTTTTTTTTAAAATCATCCGCCGGCCCCGCATTTCTATGGAGAGAAATCGAAGCGTCTGCAAAGTTTCGAAGTTTATAAGGCTTTGAGGATTGAATGAAGCGGCTTATTGCGGTTAAACGTCGTTACGGATAAACAAAAATTTATACAATAGTGTTCCATTGAAAAATAATGGTAAATTTGAGTCGACGGATTATTGGATCAACTCGTGATCTTTGTCTTATGTGTATGAGTTTGATTCCCATTGTAAGTTGTAATTTACCAGTTGCAAAACTGCGGTGATGTTATCGTAACGGGTATCAATATTTTTTCCCGCCTCATGCGTGATGGCGATGAAACTAATTGTACACATCAGACAATGACTCTCCAATTAAAATCCTCACACAATTATACGCCAAACGAAATAGCCCTGATGTTCGATTTGGGGATATTTATAATTTATGTGTAGCGGAATTTATAGTGACTAATTTGCTAATTGTCTCTTTTCTTTTCACGGAGAACTTGCTGAGAAATTATTTCGCTGATTTAATTTTTATGATCAAATTAATCTTCTAACAAATAAATCAAATTAAAATTTGGCATTTTACGCATGGAATTTATTAATGACTTGGCAAATGTAAGGGTCAATATAATTCACTTCGCTCTGAATTTCAAAATCAAGTTATTCTTGTAATTATAATAATGAGATTAGTTGTGGATCTGTTTCTGCTTTTGTCCAATCGATAACTATTTCATACTGTGTAACCACGAAGCATTTAAATGGCGATTTATTCGACTACGAATTCCGTCGCGGCACAGACGGCACAACGCAATATAATCGACGTATGACTGCAACTACGCTTATGGTTTGATTGCTTACAATACAATACAATATCAGCCTATTGGCATCCACTGCTGAACGTAAGCCTCCCCCCAAGTGCGCCAACTATCCCGGTCCTGGGCAGCCCGCATCCACCCGCTGCCTGCTACCTTTCTTAAATTGTCAGTCCGTCGTGCTGCAGGCTCTCTCACACTACGTTTTCCTACCTTCAATAACGCAATGCCTCAAGTCCATAGTTCCTAACCAGTGCGACATGCCATTAATGACCTGCGGAGCCGAAATGTGGATACTCATGGTGGGGCTGGTCCACAAATTCAAGGTCGGGTCGTCAGCGGGCGATCGAACTGGGTTTTCTCTGGCAGACAATATTCGTAACAAAGTCATTCGCCAGAGACCTAAAGTTACTGACATTGCGCGCAGAATTAGCACGCTGAAGTGGAGTCATGTCTCCAGGCGACTGATTGCTTCCTTTACACAAGTTAATTTTAAGGTAAATCTGATTTTAGTTTTAATTCGACTCTTCGATAAACTTTTACATTGTCATGTTTCATTCGTAATTAACGTTTTAATGCACATTGTTAATTTAGTAAACGCCATTTGTTTTGCGTTCAATCATTTATTCATGAAGACCTGCTGTACAAAGTACATTAGCCGGCAGAACGCGCAGTCATTTTATTATGACCTAGTTTACTCTAAAATATGTTAATAAAAACCTTTTAGTTTACCTCCGATCACTTACCACTTACCAGTTAACGAAGTTTATTTTAATGTAACTACATTAATATGCATTTCACTATCGTATTATTTTATTGGATTTATCCCAACACCTGCAATCAGCAACCAAAACCTGTTTTTCTTTTTTTGTACTGTATTATTACTTGCTTTTGGTTGTTCTGTTTAAATAAATAGTTAAATATTTCTTTTAAATATTCAATAAATAAATGAAACGGATAAATCAAATTATTATTCAACCACGAGTACTCTATTAAGTCGGTGATCATAGAACCGTGCCGAATTCAAATTTTCTTAAATAAATAATTTGGTTATTTAACTAAACTTAAACTGATAACTAAAGTTTAAAAAAAAATTGATATCATATTACCTTGACAGAAAACGATCGGTATAATAGCAATTTAGGGGCGTTTGTATTTTTGGTGCCTAATTTAGAACCAATAACGCAATCTGGATCAATCATTAATACTTATCTTAACTATTCGTTAAAAAAAGAATTTAATAAACTTACAGAGTATGGACAATCAGGCCTTAAGTTAAAATGTAACGTTAAGTAACCACTTGGTGTTGGGCCTAATATAGGCGTATGGAATTATTAGTTTCAAAGGGAACAACATTGAGATCCAATATTTAAATGAATGTTTACATAATTCCCGTTAAAATACGCAATAAATTATTCGTACGATTGATCGGAACATAGAGTTTATTATCCGTTATTAC